CCCATGATCTGCAGCGGCTCGTCGCGAAAACGTGTAGCCTCCGTAAACTCCAACTCCTGGGGCTGTAGCGCGTGAGAAGAATCTTCTACGTGCCTCCGCAACATTGACACGTTGAACACGTCATGGATATTTCCCAACTCCGGCGGCAACCCCAGACGGTATGCAACAACTCCCACTCTCGCGATCACGGGATAAGGTCCGATGCAGCGCAGCTTCAGCTTCCCGCTCTGCCCGAATCTCGCATGACCCCGCATCGCCTGTACTCGAAGAAAGGCATAGTCTCCGACCTCGAGGTCAAAGTCCCGGCATCGCTAATCGGCGTATGACTTCTGCCAGTCTTGCGCCGTCTTCAGATGGGCGCGAATCCTCTGTATCACCTCCGTGGTCTCCTCCACGATCTCCGGCCCAAATTCGCGACACTCTCCAATCTCTGTCCAGCACAACGGTGTCTTGCACAGTCTCCCGTACAAGGCCTCGTATGGAGACACTCCGATACTCGTATGATGGCTGTTATTGTACGCAAACTCGCACAACGTCAAGTACCGATCCCACGGAGCTCCCCACTCCATAATACAAGTTCTGAGCATGTTCTCCAGAGTTTGTATCGTCCGCTCCGACTGACCGTCTGTCTGGGGATGGTATGTCGTGCTCATTTTGAGCTTCGTCCCCAGAGCTTCATGTATCGCCTTTCACAGGCGTGATGTGAATCGGGCGTCTCGGTCCGAGATAATCTCGTTCAGAACCCCATGTAGACGCACGATCTCATCGACGTAAATCTGCGCCAACCGCTAAATCGGATACTCCTGCCGGATGGGGATGAAATGAGCGGATTTAGTTAGTCGGTCCAATGGCGTTCTTCTTGCTGGGCGTGAGCGGTAATCCGCCCACGAAGTCCATGGCGATTGAATCCCTCTTCCACTCGGGTATCTCCTGCGGTTGTAGCTTTCCTCCCGACATCTGTCGCTCCGCCTTCACCTGTTGGCAAGTGAGGCATCTCGCTACGTAGTCCGCCACGTCCCTCTTGACCCTCGGCCAAGTATACCACTGTCGTAGACCATGGTACTGATGGGATTCCTGAGATCTCTAGAGCGAATCCTATTCCTAAGAGATCGATTCTAGGGTTTGCGCAGCGGATATAAAACAAAAATTTGAATGAAACCCTAGAACCATACTTTTATGAATCGTAGAAACGTTAGAACGCTTACTGTTGGTTTAGTACTCTATGATGTACTGTTTATGAGCTTTATTTAGATACATTTGATGTATTGATACTTTCTATGGTTTATGAGAGTATTTGATTCATTACATGTTCTTGCATACTAGATGTGTTATGAAATCCATGTATCATTATGAATGATACTAAACTCCCTAGTCTTGTGTCATTATGGGAATGATGACATAATAAGACTAGTATGATGTGTGATTGATGATCATATAGATTATCATAGGTATTGGATACGATCACAACCATAGGTATTCGTTGGAGAACGGAATACTAGATTGACCCGCATGAGATTGTCACATGGACTAGCATCATGACTTGAATCTCATATGACGGTTCCATGATTGGATCCTAAGACCTGAGATATCCACGGAATCCAACATGAGGAGTTGCGTGCTTTGATTACGTCAAACGTCCTGCGTAACAGGAGGACTATAAAGGCGTGTATCAGGTACGAAATGAATCATGTGCTGGATTGTAGATAGTCAAGATGGGATTTGTACCTCTCGTAAAAGAGAGAGATATCGCTGGGCCCCTCGTGTGAGCGAGACTGTAGAAATGTGTGGCCGCACTATAGACGAACGTCGTCTATTTCAGACAGTCGAACTCAGTAAACGAGAAAGCAGTCGAATCAGATAAGGTGGCTTGTCCATGCCTTATATTCGACCTATGATATCGTGATACAAAAGGATCATCAACCGGAATCATCACTGGCGTTCGTAAGATCACGAACAAACTCTATTCTCGATAGTTAGTCATAGTGTCTTGCTAGAGACCGCCTATGACTTGTTTATCCGGAATAGAGATTTCGGGTTATACTACTATATCGAATGAGCCTACAGGGTCACACACGCAGGGAAGGACAAATGCACGAGAAAACATCGAAAAATCTGGACAGAGGTTCGGACTGTCCGGTCTAGGAGTGGACCGAACGGACCGGAGCATCTAGTCCGAACGGACCAAATTGTTGGACCGAACGGACTAGAGAGTCCAGTCCGAACGAACCAAGTGTTGGACCGAACGGACTGACCCGTCGGTCCGAACGGACCTAGTTATGAGACTGGTTCGAACGGACCAAGTGTCCAGACCGAACGAACTACTAAGCAGTCCGTTCGGTCTAGGTTTCGGATTTAATTTTAAAATCCGGATCTAGGGTTAATCACTTGAATAAGAGGAGATTAATAACCCTAACACGAAAGGGCCAAAAAAGAGAACTTCTTCAGACCTTTTTGGAGAGTCTAAGGGGTTGAAGAAGTGATCTAAATCTCTTTTTCTCAAAGCACATCATCGAATAGAAGATTCGAGTCCTAGCAGACAAGTTCCAAAGGTTGGAATCCATCCCGAGGTGTGGATACGTGTAGAGGGCAAGGTATTCTTCCTATCTACAGTGATCGGACGAACATATCAATTGATACAGG